GGACCGGCGGGGGGGGAGGAGGAGGGAGCGGGCGGGAGAGAGAGAGGAAGGGGGCAGCCAGGGCTACAGCAGGGGTGTTGCCACGCGGCCCCTCCCGCTGCGCCGCCTCCTGCCGCCTGCCGCGAGGGCTCCGCTCCGGTCGGCGGGGAGGGAAGGAAGAGGACTGCCCTGCAGGGCGCTCTGGTTCTCCGCGCCACCGCCCCCTACAGGGCGGCCAGAGCAGAACAAAAAAAAAAAAGTAGGCCGTGCCGCGCTGGGATTGGGCAGAACGCCGCCTCGAACAGTCTGCCGCCCCAAGCACCAGCTTGCTCAGCTGGTGCCTGGAGCCGGCCCTGGTCATTTGTCAAGTTAGGCATCAGTAAACGTTTTATCTTTATTTTTCTTGTAATCATTTCTGGCTTTTACGCCTCATTACTTGTGCTCATTTCAAATCTCTCTCTTTGTAGCTAATAAACTTGTTTCCTTGTTTTATCTAATCCAGTGTGTTCAAGTTAAAGTGTCTGGGTAGCAAGTTGTTACCATATTATTCCTTTAAAGGAAAAGGAGCGTTCGTGTATCCATACTGTCCAGGAGAGGGCTGGGCGGTACAGGGCATATGCTCCTGGGGAAAATCTGGGACTGGGCGTGTTTGGGGTCATTTTTAAGGCTGGTAAGAGCCAAGGTGTGGCTGGCTGGCGGCAGCACACACAGACTCACTAGCTGGGAGTGACTTACCGGTTGGAGGCTATCTGTGAGCAGTGAGGCATTGTAAAGGGTCCCCCAGGTTACAGGGCAGGGTTGACACAGCTACTCGTTAGTCTGGATTGTACCTCAGTACGGCACAGGCGTGCGTAGTGCTTTACAGGACCAGGCTTCTGCCCGGCGAAGATTAGTCGGTGTCAGACCCAGATGGCCATCAGCCATGGGTAGGGGAGGGCACGGAGAAGTCCGGAGTTGCAAAGGGAAGGTCACCTCTTGTGCTCCCCTTGCTAGTTCCCTTCCCCCCACGTGCACAGAGCCTGGCTCTGGGGAGTGGGTCAGGGTGAGTTCCCCTGGTCCCAGGGAAGCTGCCCTCCAGAGTTTGCGGTGGGCATGTGTAAGGAAGGAAAGGAAGGAGCAGAGTTTTCTTTTTCTCATTTGTCAGGAAGGCCCCCGTGACTGCGAGAGGAGGTGACTTTCCTCATTTCCTGACCCTCTGCACCTGCTCTGGAACACTGGCAGAGGGAGACAGGGCTGCTCGGTGTCGTGATACTTGGCTGTCACTTTCCAGAGCAGATGGGACATTTATAAAATGGCAGCGTTTGTTCTGGAAGGTTACAATACTGAGTCCCTTGGGGCATTCCTGCAGGGGCAGAGTTAAGGGTGTTTGTGGGGGTGTTGTGTGAGAAGCATTACCTTAGCTCTGTTTCCTGACTTTGTTAAATGTCTGGGGTTTGTTGTTGTAATGTTAATGCTCTGTTTAGGGTTTGCACATGTCTCGAGTACCTGTGCTTTAATCTGACCCTGGTGGTAGCAATCTTCACTTCACTTTAGCTATGTGCCGTGTGTAACCCCAATGGATTTATCCCCTTTGCCCTTCTCTGTGCTCCTGCGGGGAGGAGCTGCTGTAAACTGTTGGATCAAGCACTATGCTGAATGCTGAGCCGTTGCTGGGTGGGGCCCTGCTGCAGTGGAGACAGACAGTCACTTTAAGAAGATCCCTTTGTAAAATGTCGCTCTGCCATCCTCTGTGCAGTGAGAAGGAAAGCGTCTGACCCGCCCTGGGACTGCGGCTCGGGGATTCTGAGGGGGTGTTGCTCAGGGCTCCAGGCTTGCTCTGTAGGAAGAGGTGGGACGGATGCTCAGCGAGAGCGGGGGTAGGAGCGTACATGTGTGTGCATGCCGTGTGCTGGGCTCCCTGGCTGTGCTGCTGCAGACTGCAGCTGTGTGAAGCTGGGAGCCATGTGCGCTTCTCCTTGACCTCACACCGCAGGACGCCTGCTCCCATATCTTCAAGCTCCCAGAGTTCACTGTGGCATTTCCCCTGTCCATTCCTTTGGCTCCGGTTAACAATCTCATTACGTAGGCCTCTGATTAGTTTTACTCTGCAGTGCAGGGATCTGCTGAATATTGAACAGTTGTGTGAGGTGCAGACTGTCTGTCATAACCATGCTGTGGTCTGATTGCATCATGATCTGATCACAGCAGGCACCGAGCGGTGGTGCGTTGCCTGTTCCCTGCTCACTGCAGGGGGAGGCAGAGGTGGGGATGTCCTGACACAGGAGAGCCCTTCCGCGGTTTGCCCATTTGTTCCCAGATAGCTGTCGGGTTGCCTTTCGCGATGCCGTCCCCTGGCGTACCTGTGTTGCTTTCATTAGTGAAGAATGCTGCAGTCTTGGCTCCATGTAATTCCGTTCTCATCCCTTTGCAGAGGCTTTTTGTGTGGCCGAATAAATCTGTGTTCTAACCAAGTGTGCGCTGCGTGTCCCTGGTGTCGAAGGGGCTGGGTGAGGGATGGATGGAAGGGGATTCAGAATGAGCCGTGCTGAGCTCGCCCTGTTTGCCGTTGTCTGCCGTGCTCTGTTTGGGAGTTGGCAGTTACCTTATCTACCAGGAAAACGGTTCAGGTACCGCCCCGTGACAGATGCACTCTGACGAAACAAAGGCACCTGCTGACTTTCTGGGGCCTTCTTCCCTTCTGCTGTAAAATGTGCTTGGCTCCTCTCCTGCTCTGAACTCCAGGGTGGGGTCTTTCTCCCCAGCCTCAGAGGACAGTCTCCTTGACTGGACATCATCTTCCTGGCCACGGAGAGAGAAGATCCTGGGGTCCCCAGCTAAGTTCCCACTAAGCTGCGCGGCTGTGCAGCAGGCTATTAAGGGCCGTGCAGATGGGGAGAGGCGCCCCTCCCACAGCCTCAGAGCTGCCGCAGCCGGGATGAGATGCTTCTCCCCGGGCTGCTGCGGTGAGAGAGGGCTGGGGGGAGGTCCTCTCTCTCTCTCCCTGCCGCAGCCCCGGGGCAGTCTGCACCCCAAACCCCTCATCCCCGGCCCCACCCCCAGCCGGAGCCCACAACCCCCCGCTTCCCCACCCCTGAACCTCCTCCTGAACCCCAAACCCCTCATCCCCGGCCCCACCCCCAGCTGGAGCCTGCACCCCCCCATACCTCACCCTCTGCCCCACCCCTGAACCTCCTCCTGCACCCCAAACCCCTCATCCCTGGCCCCACCCCCAGCTGGAGCCTCCACCCCCGCATACCCCAATCTCTGCCCCACCCCTGAACTTCGTCCTGCACCCCAAACCCCTCATCCCCGGCCCCAACCCAGAGCCTGCACCCCCAGTCAGAGCCCTCCCACACCACCCCTCTGCCCCAGTCCTGAGCCCCACCCCCGCCACACATCACCTCCATATTGGTGCACATAACAAAATTCATTCCGCACATGGATCTAAAAAATTAGGGGGCACGCTGGTCCCCACCAGGGTTGTATTCGTGCTGCTCCGGAATTCTGATAGTCGGATGGGCAGCATAGTTGCCCACGTCCCAAGCCGTGCCTGCTGTACCCCTTGCTCCCACCAAGCACAAGCAGGCTGGCTGGCCAGACACTGGTACCATTCCTTTCCTAGGGGCTTCTCCTGTACAGAAAACAGTCTGTCTATCTGTTGCCTGCTCGACTTGAAAAGTGAGACAAAGATAATAAGACAGAAAATACCCTATTGCCTTTGTATAAATCCATGGTACGCCCACATCTTGAACACTGCGTGCAAATGTGGTCGCCCCATCTCAAAAAAGATCTATTGGAATTGGAAAAGGTTCAGAAAAGGGCAACAAAAATGATTAGGGGTTTGGAATGGCTGCTGTATGAGGAGAGATTAAAAAGACTGGGACTTTTCAGCTTGGAAAAGAGACGATTAAGGGGGGATATGATAGAGGTCTATAAAATCATGACTGGTGTGGAGAAAGTAAGTAAGGGTTATTTACTCCTCATAACACAAGAACTAGGGATCACCAAATGAAATTAATAGGCAGCAGGTTTAAAACAAATAAAAGGAAGTATTTCTTCAGGGTCTGGTACAATTAAATATTTTCATTAATGACTTGGATAATGGAGTGGAGAGTATGCTTGTAAAATGTGCGGATGACACCAGCTGGGATGGTATGATGGGGTAGTCTCCCCTTAAGGGTAATAGAGCCTAATGGTCAGCCGACCCCATCAGGTGGCATGGCCCTTTAAAAGTTTGAAAAGTCCGACTATATATATACCAAGATCTGGGAATGGCTGGGAGAGAGGAAGCCATCCCGGGAGCAAGAGGGAAGAAATGCCCTTACTGTTTCTTTAAGGGCCTGGGGCCAGGAGCCGTGCAGAGAGGACTAGGGTGACCAGATGTCCTGTTTTTATAGGGACAGTCCCAGTTTTAGGGACTTTTTCTTATATAGGCGCCTATTACCCCCCACTCCCTGTCCCGTTTTTTCACAGTTGCTGTCTGGTCACCCTAGAGAGGACAGGGCAGGACTCCTCTCAAGGGTGACCTGTTAAGCCCCCTGAAAGCCAGGCAGCTAGTTAAAGAGAAGGTCCATCTGAGGGAGAAGCTGGTGAAGGCCCCAAGCTGGCTAACCCACAACTCGGCTCCCAAGAGGAGCTGGGGCTCCTGCTTCAGAAGGGCCAGAGGATGTGATTAGCAGAACCCAGCTCCAGCCAGGAGAGCTGGAGACACTCCTGTCTAAGGAGAGTGTGAGGAACTAGCAAATACGGCTCAGCTCCAAAGAGGAGTTCTGGGCTCGCCTGCTTGAGGGAGGCTGAAAGGAGTAACTCAGGGAAGGAACTGGGAAGGGTTCCAGAAACAGACTGTTTACAGGTGAAAAAAGTCTCTTGATGGGAGGAGCCGGAGATTGCTAGTTGGACTGAGCTCAAGATGACAAATGTCCCTGGGTGTATCTGAGGAAGCACCTCCTTATGGTTATGGGACACCGGCTGTGGTGTCGGTGGGTGGCTAGCAGCTTTGGCCTTGAAGGTTTAATCTGGAGTATTTACTATTCTAATTCTAGCTATTGTTGTTAGGCCAATGTCCTGTTCCTGGTTGACTTCTGCTGAGCTCTCGGCTTCAGTGGTATCCAGTGGCTGTGAGTTCCAGAGGCTAAGTACATGGGGTGGGAAATTTGAGATTCTTCAGTTTCATTGGCTGGCCCAATCAATCTTCCCTAATATCATTCCTCCTTCTTACTATGTAAACTTCTATTGGGTTTACACTTATTCCTCTTTTAAGATAAACGGTCCCGTCTTTTAAGGCTGACTAGATGTTGGCTGTGAAGCTCTTTCTCTGCAGAAGCTGGGTCTGGTTTCTTATATTCTATTGTGTATGTTTGTATTTCCCTGCAGGGAAAGACCATGTTTGCAGATTTATCGGCTGTGGAAGGAATGAGAAATTTAATTACGTGGTCATGCAGCTTCAGGTGAGTTCTGTTCCCTGTCTCAGAGACACCTGGGCTTTGCCGTTGTTCCCAGCCAGCAGGAGAGTGAGGTGAGAGTTGGGGTGATGGCTGGCTGGCTGAGGGAGGGGATCTTTTGATGCCTGTTGCCCCTTGGATCCTTATGTGGCTCAGCATGAGAGTCTCCCCTTCTGTATAGTCAGCACCCCCAAGAGCCCACGGAGCTACTGGGGCTCTGTGTAGGGCCCATGGCAAAAGCAGCTGTCCCCCACAACGGGCCTTCGCAGGTGAAGAGACGAAATTACTGGCGGGGATTGCGGCGAAGGGAGAAACAGCTGATGGAAGGCCTCATGGGGAGGGGGGGTGGGAATAACCTCTCCTGAATGGAGATTGAAAGCAGCACCTTCATCTTGGTAGTGAGCCAGTTTCAAACGAGTTAGAAGCAGATTTATATTTGACAACTGCCCCAGAGTGTCTCTCGGCCAGTGTTGGGGGTTTTACAATCACATTTGCCTGTCGATTATTATTTATTGTATTGTTCGTGTGACAGTAGCACCCAGAAGCGCCGACTGTCCTCAGGGCTCCATTGCGCTTGGCGCTGTATAGTCATAAAATAAAAGGCCCTCTCTGCTCGAGAGAGTTTACACCCGAACCAGGCACAATGTGACAGATGGGTGCAGAACGCTGTGGACGGAAGGTGAGGGTGACGGTAACAAGTACTAGGAAGTCAAAGTCTCATCTACTAGCCCAGGGTACAGATTCTCTCATTCACTTATATTATTTAATTTAAATTAAATTAAAGAATCTTTATATTTCTTTAAATTAAATGATACAAGTGAATGAGAGAAACGGGTAGATCACCACTAACTGAGCAGCTGCCTAGCCTGTAATGTTAGACAGCTTTCCAGTGGGCATCGCCGCAGAGGTGGGCGAAGAAGGGAACTGAAGGCCAGAGGAAGCGGCTGTGTGAATTGATATGGGGAGGGTGTTCCATGCATAGGGGGCAGCATGGAAGAGGTGCCAAGGTACGTGTTGGTGCGGGGGGGAAGCAGAGAAGCAAGTGATGGTGGCTGCCCGGGTTGATGAAGCAAAGAGGATGCTGAGATGTGCCATACACCAAGTCCTGTCAAATACCCAGAGCAAGCAAGCTGGCAGATAGACAAGTAGGGTTTTCACCAGCCCCTTGAAGGGATCTTATGTGGTATAGCTAAAGATAATAGGTAAATGCTATTCAGAGAGAATTGGTGACTTTTTTGTTATCTTGACCATGCCCCTTCAAAATAAACATCTCATTCTTTTAACGTGTACTTCTTACCTGAGGGCTTGTCCCCTGTGTCTTCCTCTTGGTGCTGGATGCAGTCAGCGCCTTTTCTGTCTAGGAGAATCTTGCATCTCTCTGAATGCAGTGGGTGCAAGGCCTTTTCAAAAGGACAGGGAAAGCCACGGAGGCCAGGCTGAAAATGTACCTCTTTGGCTGCTCCATGTGCCCCATTGGACCCTCCTGGAACAGCCATCGAGGTTCTGAAGAGTGGGGCTAAAAAACCAGCACCGTCTAACTTCCCTTGTCTGTTCCTGCAAACCTCCAGAGTCGTTCCTGCTGCCTTTAGTGGCAGTAGTTGTAACCTTCTCGCCCGTGCTAGCCCTGCAGAGCCAACACAGCCGTACAAGAGTCGATGCAGCCTGAGCTCCTCAACAGAATTCTCTTAAGATGTAACTGCAAGACCCAATTCTGCCCCACTTCCACCTGTACAAGCCCCCTGAAGACAAGGGGCCATGGGGTAAGGGAGGACAAAACATGACTGATGGCGTACTGTCAGTGCACAGGCTGAGTTGGAAGGGCCGGCTGCTAGAAAAACCTGCTTTTTTTACTTGTCAACGGAGGCAATTTTCTATGGAGTCATTGACACACACACTCACGGAGGCCGTTTTCACAGTGTCACTGGACAGTGCGGTTTTAGTCCCAGACGTTTGTCCGTTGCGCGTCGAAATCAACTCTCCTGCGGCTGCTCCAGAGCTGCCTCTCCTGGGACGCTCTGCAGGACCCCAGATTCCCTGGCACTGCAGGGGACTTTCTCCTTGGGCCAGCAACACTCAGGCTCTCATTCTGACTGTTGCTACTTTGGAGCAATGTCTGGGACGCATCTGCTCCTTGCAGCTGCTTCTCGACCCGTTCGGGGTTTCTGATGTAATCAGGGCACTTCCGGGTCACGGCTGTCTCCCAGACTTCTGCAGAGCTGCTCCTGTTTTCCCATCATGGCCCACCATGGCTTTCCATGCCCCTGGGTAGCTTTACTGACCTGAGACCATGCCTTTGTCTCCCTCACCTGCCATGGGAGGATTGTGGATGGAACAAGCAGCCTTCGATGTGTGCAGTTGTTGGTTTGATTCCTCATGATTCCAGTAGCGTAAAATAAGGACATGAGAGGCCCCAGAAACAACCTCCTGGTAACGGGACAGCTCTGGCTGCACTCCACAAAGCCAGAACAGTCGGAGTGGATATACAAGCCGTGCTCCCTTTTCTTAACTCACAGAGGCAGAGAAAAAGAAAAGGCTAGAAAGCCAGGTGCAGCCAAACCCTTAATACTTCCTTGGTGACATGGTTCTGAGACGGGGCCCGGATGGAGACCGAGGGTGTTTCATTGGGTTTGGGAGTGATCTCTAGGATGCCCGTATGCACAAGTCCCCAGCCGGCACCTGCAGTCCTTTCTAGCCCATTCCTTTGTGAACTTGGCTTGAGTCATCCTTTCTATGTCCGTGACATTCCATATGTTTCTGCAGGGGTAGAGATAACAGGGTTCTATAATATAGTGTTATCAGCACACCACACATAATCCCTGTGTTTATTGTAGGTCCTCCGAATGTGTGCAATAACACAGTGTGGCCTTCTGCCAAAGGAACTCTTTTCCTAGGTGCTTTTGATCAGTTGATAGCCTTTTCTGATGTTGAAGATTACCAGGAGAGTGCTTCATCAAAAGAATTACACATCTCAACATCCACTTTCTCTTTGCCGGTCAAAAAAGGCATAGGCTGAGTTCAGAAGACCGGGATAAACAGAACCCTGTGATTTGGATACATAGTCCATCCTTAGCTTTCATTCAATTGTCTTTAAAGCTATTCATGAGGGTTAGAACAGGGCCTCTGAAAGACCTGTGGTTTTATAGCTGTAAAAAAGCTCATATAATGACAGTAGGTAACAGGAGAGGAAGCAGCTACAAAGGGTTCTGAGAGGGAAATTTCATACTTACGGTAGCATTCCCAGAGCAAAAATACATCTCGGTGATACGTATGCCCTAAACTCTACCTTAGCAAGCAAGTCAGAGGCTGTAACTTTCCAGAGAGCAATTGTATCTGCCCCAAATCAAACCAGCAACAAGTAGTCAGCTGCACCTAGTATATTTCAACTCCTAAAAACACAGTTGACTCTATTAGGCAGTTTACCTTGCAGTCTTTAGTCTCCTTTGGTCTATTTCAGGTACATCATCTACTCCCAATCCACTCCTGGTCTAACAGTCCCCCTGTGCTACAGACTTGCAGAGAACTCTATCTGTGTCAGTGCTGACTCAGGTAGCGTAACCGCGGTTTGGAAAAAGGGAGGAGAAAACGTCAGCCATTAGGGCTGAAATGGAAAATTAAGATCTAGTTACCAGCTAGTGAGCAGGTGTCCCAAAGGAGGTTCTGGGTGGAGAGCTGTGCTTCTGTAGTGCCTCTGCCTTGCGGTGCACTCACTGATATTTGAATGGTTGCCGGGGGAGCCCTGCGAAGGACTGAAGCTGGGTGTTTGCTATGGGGCACTCATGGACTGCCAGCACCACAGTGAGGAGACCCAATCCATTGACAGAGTTGCCAGCTCTTGGGATTTTATCAAGTCACACAGTAGCTGCTGTTTTTTAAAGCTGATCATGATTTTTTCACTGATTTCTTGTGAATTGCTGCCCTTGTTAAAAATGGACACATATCTCATTGCGGCCTGTGGGACTGAAGTTAGGGCATGCTCTAAGTCAAACTAGCTGCCACATCCCTGTGCAGTTTGCAGGTAGAAGTGATGCGGCCCCTAGTAAAGATGGCCACCATCTCCCATAGGGTCTGTGGGATTGAAGCCAGCCTTCCCTTTGGGAAGATGACCAGCTCCTGGATTCTGTGGTTAGGAAATTGCGAAGAGGCAGGAGAATATGGCATGTAGGAGGGACACTTAGGGGGTGGAAGGGATCTTGGGAAGAGACAGAAGGCTGTGGAGGTTAGAGGGAGAGTGGGGCCATAAAGAGGAAGATTGGGTGTAGGAGGGGGAATGATAAAGGTGCAGAGGAGTATGGGGCAGAGCAGGAGAGTGTGAGGGGTAGAAGCTGTGCGGCAGGTCAATGAGGAGGGTCGGGGGGAAGAGGACGTTGTGGGGGAGGATATGAGTGAGGCAGGACGCTGGGTGGAGCAGGGAAGGCGGCTGGGTGGTGGATGGGGGTAATAAGGGGGTTGGGGGATAGGATGGCAGCTCCCTTAACCCAGGGGATATGAGAGGGGAAGGGCAGTCGTTTCTGAGTGTGCGGTGAGGGGGAATTGTGAACCTGAAATGATCATGCACAAACTGGGAATGGTGGCATGTCCCGACAGCACTGAGAGCATGGCGTGCTTCCTTCTTGTTTGAAAACCTCGTGACTTTTAAGCCCATCTTATGATTTTTTTCCCCCTGGAATCTGACTTGTGATTTTTAACCACTCGGGGCTGGATTTGCTGTTGATAAAAAAGGCAAAGGTTAGAAATGTGGGTGATAAATGGTGAGATTTAGCCGGGAATCAGGCAGCTAATCTCTGAGGAGAACAATCCTGAATGCAGGTAACAGGCAAAGCAGGGAAGCAGGGATGCTGGTGGGTAGGCGCTTGCACTGCGTTATGGAAGGAAAGGGTAATGGTGAGTTTAGGCTGCATGCGCAGAGGACCAGGTCACAGAACAGAAAGAGGTAAAACCAAACACCAATCCTGCAGCCTGGCAGCACATTCCTGAAACTGGGGCCTGGGGCAATGCCCACAAGCCAGGCTGCCGCACCTGCTCCACACTGCAGCAGCAGCAGGGTTAACACCAGTCCGTCCCCCGGGAGGGGGAATGTCCCCTGTGTGGACAGGCATGCTGAGGGGTGGCATTTCTGTCCAGAAGGGACCATTCTGGTCAGCTAGTCTGGACACGGGCAGGGACCGTAGGTTTGCTGCAAAGAGTGGCGTGGAGGCAGACCTGCAGCTTGCCATGTCTGTGCTGGGATTTTACAGCGCATTGGTGATGCCATCTTAAAACAGCTGTTTCTTCTAGTCTGGACGTGGTCATGGAGTGAAGGTGGGGGACGCGGTTCGGGGGACGTGACTGTGGTGGCGAGGGAAAGTGAGGGATGGGGATGTGACTGCAGTGGAGTGGGACACAGATGGGGGGACGTGACTTTGGTGGAGTGAGGGCAACTGTTATCGCTGGGTGCGGCGTGAAGCGGGAGGTGAGTCTATAAGAAGAAAGGCGAGGGAATGTATGAATGAAGGCAGGGCAGAGGGGGAAAGGGCGGAGTGGGAAAGCTGTGCGTGTGATTACCTATTCCACACACACAAGAAGAAAGCACATCATTTCTGGGGGCTCATTGAAGCCTGTGACCTGGATCTCACCGGTGTGCTTACATGAATATAATTTAGTGGTCATAGTTCAGTATTCTCGTGAACCGGTAGCCTTTACTTAGACTCAGAAATGAACGAAGGTGGAGGCTAAATTACCACTTAGTCATGGAAAAAAATAATCTCTCCAGGAAAAATCTCACTCTAGCAACTCTGTATGTGGCCTGCTTCTTAATACAAGAGCGTTGCTAGGCCTGGACTTGCATGAAACTGCTTACATGAAGTTCCCACCCCAAGGACTGGGTGTCTTGGTGGGGACTCCTAATGGAATTGGTTCCAAAAGGTGTTAACAGCCTATGGGTGCTTGGCTCATTGACCACCCTTGTGACCGTCTGACTCTCTGGCCTTTCTGTTGAGCTTCCAGCCAAGGGCTGACTATGTCGGGACACTGACATGGGAACCATCTGTGTTCAGCACTCTACCTCCGGGGCTGTGTGTCTGTGTGAAGCCTGCCCTGCTACTGTCCTTCCCAGGCCTGTTTTGAGGATAAATAAATGGGGTGCTTCAGCTTCCAGAGCTGTCAGTCTGGCACCTTTTCTCAGCAAGTCAGTCACTGGAAAATGAAATCCAAGAAATAACGCAGACCCAGGTGTTCGCACATCTCCGATCGGGGGGGGATGGGGAGGGGTGTGTGTGTGTTAAGAATTCTCTGTCTGGATGTGGATTAAATGCAGCCGATGGTACGTGTGAGATGTCGGGGTACACACCGCATGAATTGTTTCAGGGCCGGAACCTTGCAGACCTCAGAAGAAGCCAGCCTCGGGGGACTTTTACGCTGAGCACAACCCTGCGATTGGGCAAGCAGATTCTAGAATCCATAGAAGCCATTCACTCTGTGGGATTCCTGCACCGGGATATCAAGCCGGTAGGTCGTTTTCGAAGCATTTCCCCACTTTAAGATTGAGTCAACGGTCATCCTGGTGGCTGGGACCGTGGGCAGTCTTGGCAGAGGCTACCGTGTTGCCCCAGTCGACATGCGAGAGAGGAGTAGAGTGACGTATTCCCCAGCCACCCCTTTGCTAGAAGAGGCCACTCCACAGTGGGTCTGTGGCTCTGGTGTCACACTGCCCCCCTATCAGATCAGATTCTGGAGCCAGGCTACGTCCACGTATTTCTCTGGAATCCAGCCCATCACTGCTAAGCAGCTGTTACATAGGTTCAGAAAGTGCACCCTTCCGTGTGCCCCAACACGATGATAAAGGTCACGTCCACGCATTTGTCTTTGCTAAAGAAAACCCCCTTTCCGGAGCCATTATTTCACAAGCAGGGGTATCTCTGCATGTCCTGGCAAACAGGCTAGAGGTGCGGGGAATCCTGTGTTGGCTTCTGGGGAGTTCTCCGTGCCGAGCGAAGGCAGAAGGCGAAAAGACAATAGCCTGGCTCCTCTGCCCAGGGAGGAGTGACGCCCCACCCAGGGTCAGGGTCAGCCCACTTCTCGGGGCTTCAGCAGGGAACACACCTTCCATATCCACCCTCCCTTCCCCTAACCTGGGGCCTGCTGCAGGGGCTCTCTGTTCCCTACAGGTTTCTTCTCTTCAGACCACTTGCCCGAGAGTCAGAGCCTGCTCCAGGGCCTCTTGTAGGAGCCAAGCTGCTTCCTGTAGCCCTCCCCCCACCTTGACCCAAGGACTTCCTGCCAGGCCCTCTCTGCTCCTGGCCGCTTTCTCCTTAGCAGCTCCATCTCAGCTGGGAGCTGGGACAGGGCCGAATTCTCAGCTGGTGTAGGACAGTGTCCCGCCATTGACTTGCTGTGCCTGTTTACTCCAGCTGAGAATCAGACCCAGCATGGCAGAGTTATGTGCAGGATAGCGGGCTCTAGTAACTATAACATGAAGAAGAACAGCAAGCACTTTCTGCCCATAGTAACCCCAGCCTGAGTGGAGATGCTCCTTGTTCACTACAGAGCTCTGGATGTGGAGTTTAAATAGTTCCCGTAGCCGCTGAAGTTTTGCTGAGTTAACACACACTCTGGTTTTATGGTTATCTGGATTATCCGTAGCCACCTGTCTTCAAACTGAATTCTAGGTGGGGGAGCCTGGAACTCCCTTCACTGCTGGGTTGCTTCTCTACTCCTTGGGACACACTTTGAGCCTCTGACTTTCTCTGCCTGGGGGAACCAAACACGTTAGCAAAGAAACTAGGAACTCATGGTGCTGCCTGGACATGCACTGTGTTCCTGCCTGAGACATCGCTCGGTGGGGTGGTCGGGTGAGTTCTGAGTTTGGCGTGAGAATGGCTGTTGCTATCCAAACTGATTACTTTATTCTTTTCCTTTTGGCCAGTCCAACTTTTCCATGGGTCGCCTGCCTTCAACCTACAGGAAATGCTACATGTTAGACTTTGGTCTGGCCCGGCAGTACACCAACACCAACGGCGAAGTCCGGCCAGTAAGTGACACCTTTTCCAACTCTGCTTCCACTCAGGCAAGGAAAGGGGTTTTGTTGTTTTGTTTTGTTATGACATGTATTGGGACTGCTTCTCGGGCTGGAGGGGGGGTGCGGAGGGGTTGTGTTTGAGCTGGGAATGGAGGAATCTTGCTGTTGTCTGAAAAATGTGGGTTTTTTCCATGCTAACAGTTTTCCACGATGTGCTCGGGCCAAGCAGGCGGGAGGCCAGAGCTGTCCGAGCTGGTGGCCTCCCTCCCCCCGCAGTAGAACAATCCCATTCATGTCTTTGTCCGGCCTAGTCTGGGGAAGAGAGCTGGGCGTGTTCTTTAGAGTTGTTTGATCGCAATGCAGCGGGAGTCTGAAGAGGACACTGCTCTTCCAATACACTGGGCTGATGTTCACCAAGACGCTGGGCTGTCACCACTGCCAGGAGCCTTGTTCCTTCCCCGCCTGGCTTTGTCTCTGTGCCCCCTTTCCGATTGCTGAGCAGGGGGCTCAGGGTGGGGGGAAGGGGAAGTAACTTGCTCTCCTCTCTCTGTGTGTGTGTCGCATCCAGCCCTCTTGCTCAGTAAAGTATCGTGTGGGCTCAGGCAGGAGTGCAGCGCGAGCTCCAGAGATGTGCGTCTCACCTGGATCCCGCTAAGCTGCAGGCCGAGCGCGCCTGGCTTTGCCATCGAATAGGTTGCTCACCGCTCCAGGACCAGGCCTTGGCGAGCTCCAATAATCTGTTTGGCTGGCCGCCCAGTGTCGTACCCTTTGGCTCCAGAGCCTCTTATATCCGTACGCTCTCTGGAAGCCACGCTCCCTCTCCACAGAACCCCACCTAACTCATCCGGAAAGTCCCAGGCTTTGGCCCAAAGCGCTTCTACCCTGAGGCTGGAGCCTGCTGGGCTTAGGGCCTGAAAGCCTGACTGCCCAAACTCTGGTTCAGTGAGTGGCTTCCCCGCTGCTTAGGGCCTGTCTGGCTAAGCAGACTATGGGCAGCAGCTAGGTCCCGTCAGTCACTACCGCGGAGAAGGCAGAACTGGGGCAGTTGTAGGGATGCTCCACCCTTATCTGATACACCCCCCAGCTCCAACCATGTCCTGCCTGGAGGGGGGCTTCAGCAGCCCCTATGGACTCTGCATTCAGGAGGTTCTATTAGGTGTGTGTGTGTGTGTGGGGGGGCAGACAGGGGCATTACCAAGTGTAGAAATCTACACAGAGCCTTCCCTCACGGAATTCATTGTTATAGCCTGTGCCAGTGCTGGTGTCATCAATAAAGCGTCTTAGGAAATCAAACCAAAGCAGCACAGAATCAAATCCTGTTTCGCGTAAGGGCACAGTTATGGCTGAGCCACGTCAAATTGCCCGGGAGTCACCCTTGGTGTGAACATGCTGGGCTTGCGCCAGTCTAAAAGCTGGCGTAGGTTTATCGTGGGTCTCTGCACCATGGTGGCTGTACCGATATTCGAGCAGGATTGGACATTCCCCTGGTAACAAGACTATGCAGAGTTAGCACAGCGAATGTTACCAGTATTTCTGGAAAGGAGATCAGTCATCCTGCTTCAGGGCTTAAACCAATTTCTAACCATTAGAGACCAGGATGAGACCTTCCTGGGGCGAGATTATCCAGCTGTTCCTGTGGGGCTTCTTGCACCTTCCAGTTAGGTTTAGGATATCACACTGCCGCCCATCTCCATAGTATCTGGTCATCTTCCATGTAAAACCAATAGCAACAGCGAAATCCCCAGGGGCCTCCATGGAGACTTTGGCCCTTCTCCCTTTTTGGGGTCAAGGCTGTGCTTGGATAGGGAGTTTAGGCTGGTTGGCTGATGGACTTGTTATTGTGGGGGAGATTGGGTTGATGGAACATTGCTGAGGGTGGCCACTCTCCGATACAGAAGAGTGACTTCATGGAGCTCAGGTCTGATCCGGTCTAACAGCTCCAGTTTCGTTTCACTGACAGCCACCATTTTCAGATACAAGCTCTCAATTTTTCTGCCCCCTGACCTCTCAGATCACAGCACTTCAAGGGCCCCAGGAGGTGGAGAAGTGTCACCTCGCCCCACATGGTCTTTTCCGGCCAACCATTTAATGAGACTGACATCTGTCTGTGTGCTCTGTCCTCCTACGAAAGCTTTGGCCGTCTTCTTCTCAAGTCAGTCATTCTGCTTTGGTCCCACCCTCACCACGCACGCCTCCCATCACACCAATTCACCCAAACTGCCCTTGCCCCCCACTCTCTAACTGCCCAAGTCGGCCACCAGGAAGGAAATTGTCTTGTGAACCCAATAGCAACAACACCACACTGGCTCGGCGGAGAGGCTGTGCTAGCGAGATGCTCTGAGGTGGAACATGACTTTAAGGCCTGTCCATTCTGAGGCCTGCCTGCCTTCACTGAGACCCCATTAATAACCACAGGCAACCTAACACACTCAGACAAACTGATAAGAGCTTGCATTATTCTATTATAATCCCATTGAATTCGACTGATTTTTCCCTAATCCCCCTCTGTCCAAGCTTCTTGACTGAGGGTGAGTTGGTGGTGTAGTTTCCAGGAAGGCTACACCCTTCAGCCCTTCTCTTTAGAGGTTATGGGGTTCCTGTCTTTTTGGGGGTGCCTGCAGGAAGTTACCCAGACAGCAGGAAACACAACAAACCCAGGATTGAATGGCTAAAAACATAGAGGAGATGGAATGAAAACAAAAACCAGGGTTTGTGTAACCCCTGTAGACCGACACTCCTCCTACGTGAATCAGAGACGGCCTTTTCTGCACGTGCCTTGACAACTGTCCCATCTCAGGCCATTAGTGCAATAACTGGGTGTCAAAGCCAGTTCCTCAGCGTAAATTTCATAATCCAGACCTTGAAACTAGTCTGTGCCAAACAGGATGCAGGAGGAAGTATCAGAGGGTCTGGTGCTGGGGAATGACATGAAAGGAATTGGAGACCAATATTTATATAGTGTTTAGTATTTTATGTTCATTATACGTGTGTCCCCCCCCCCCCCCCGCCAAGCATCATGGTGGGCTGTGGAAAGGGACTTAAATGGAAGTTTACTACACTATTCTTTCTTTCTGTGAACGGATAGAGTCTCAGAACGCTCACACTGGTTAGACTGCCAACCTCCTGGGGTTCCCCTTTATCCTGAACAAAACCGAACCTTAGCTCAGTTTCCCCCGGAGCTGCCTGTTTCCAGAGTCTTCCTGCAAGACATCCAACCCCTCTCCTGCTTTGGAGACTCTCCACCTTTCAGCCAGCAGAGTTGGAGCTAGTGAGACCACTCTGCTGTGAGGATGTGGCTGCCAGGGTGAGTCAGCCGGATAGCCCTGCATTTTCCTGCCGTCCTGTCGCATGACCCTTAAACAACAGCAGCACAGGTAGCTGTTTTCTGCAAAATGCCTACACACTAAAGACGTCCCTGAAGGGCCTTTTGCTCTTAGAGCTGGCAAGACTGATTGTAGCTCAGCTTCCAAAGGTGCGGGCCAGGAGTACAGGACTCAATTTAATATCTCAAAATGCTGGAAAGGTTGTTTTAAAGTGAGGTGACTGAGAGGTAAAGAGAGAGACCCCACAGCAAGAACTATGTGGCGAAATGGCCTTTATGTTATTAAGAAAAAAGAGACTGTGACGGGTTCGGTCACAGGGATTCCCTGGGGACTGTCATCTGATGTGCTGAAATTACCTCTGAGCCTGTTTCTGGGCCTCAATTTCCTTTTCTTAATTCCATTTGCCTTTTGTGTTCATTTTCCTTCTCTGCAACCTGCAACCTCTGCAGTTCCACCTTCTTCTGAGCTTCGCGCTCACTCATTTTGCTTAGTTTTCTGTCCCTATTTCCCTTACCCGAAATAAGCAAAGAGAAAATAACAAACCAGTAAACACTTTGTCTGTTGTCCAGCCACCACACTTAAAAACTCACTTAAAATCCGTACCAGCGCCTCAAAGCAATCAGCTGTGCACATATCCTGACGACTATGCCACTGTGATGCGTTCGGTCACAGAGATCCCCTTGGGACTGTCACCTGATGTGCTGAAATTACCTCTGAGCCTGTTTTCCCTGCCAGCTTGGGACTCCAGAACTCTGCCTTGTTGAGCCAGACACGCTAGCCTGCTGCAACACAGACCCAGGGTCTGGTCCACACCTCCAAAGCTGCAGACTTAACTGAAAACAGCTCAGCAGGTTGCCTATCTCCAGCACCCAGACACTCAGCTCCCAATGGGATCCAAACCCCAAATAAATCCATTTTACTCTGTATAAAGCTTTTACAGGGTAAATTCATAGATTGTCCGCCCTCTATAACACTGATAGAGAGAGATGCACAGCTGTTTGCTCCCCCAGGTAGTAATCACTTTCTCTGGATTTATTAATAAACAAAAGTGATTTTATTAAGTATAAAAGGTAGGATTTAAGTGGTTTCAAGTAATAACAGACAGAACAAAGTAAGTCACCAAGCAAAATAAAGCAAGTGTAAGCCTAATACATTAAGAAACTGATTACAGATAATATCTCACCCTCAGAGATGTTCCAATAAGCTTCTTTCACAGACCAAACTCCTTCCTAGTCTGGGCCCGATCCTTTCCCCTGGTCCAGTCCTTGTTCGTTCCAGCAGACATCTCAGGTGGTAAGCAGGGGTTTTCCCATGACTGTCCACCTCCTTTTTCCTGCTCCACCCCCTTTTATAGCTTTGGCATAAGGCGGGAATCTTTTGTCTCTCTGAGTCCCCACCCCTCCTCCTAAATGGAAAAGTACCAGATCTAAGATGGATTCCAGTATCGGGTGACGTGGTCACATGTCGCTGTAAGACCCCTAGTCTCCATTCCCCAGGGGCTGGCCCACACCTACACAGGAAGGATTGCAAGTAAATAAACCATTTACAACCAATTGTCCTAGTCACTGGGAGCCATCAAGATTCTAAACCACCATTAGTGGCCCACACTTTGCATAATTACAGTAGGACCTCAGAGTTATACTTCATATTTCTAGCTTCAGATGCAAGAATGATACATGCATACAAGTA